AGAGAATGAATCTGTGACTGGTGACAGAATCAGCCCATTGTCTCCATTGTTTTCATGATGCCTTTTTTTAAAAAATGTTTTTTAGTTGTCTGGTATTTAAGGAAATTAGCTGAGAATAAAAAAAAAAAAAAAAGGAAGAATTAAGTAATTTCACACTGGTCTATGGAATATAGGCTAGAAAATCTAAAACATTTTGAGGATTTTATTGGAGACATTCAGGAACAGACTTTGCAATACATTTCTCTAGGAATACTCCTAAAAATGCAACCAAATGGAAAAATAGAAATAAAAAGGGCTTTAGCTTTTCAACACAGGATGTGGATTGAATTATACTTTATCCATGATAACTGAAGGTCCTGTCATGTCTTAATTTGTGGACATCATACAGTCACAAATTTTACCATCTGCTCTAAAACCCATACATCAGAAAAATTCTATGTAATGACCTCTTTGATATATCATATCCTGCAGTATATCTAGATCTAATTAAAGAAAGGACTGTCTGTTTTAGGGTCAGCTTGCTGTTAAAAGTAATGTAAATCCTCAACTGCCAACTGAAACTTCTGCAAGGACCAAAGTGTACACTGACTGACACATTTGCTTTTTGTCGTCTTTGATGCCCACAAGCCGAGCATTTCCAACACGCCTTATTCCTTATTTTCTTTGTCCTGCTGCCTTTAAAAGGTTTTTAAGGAGAAGGGATTACCCAATGTTAGGATGATTATGTCTGTCTCTTTCTGTGGTGTGTATAAGAGGATGGAAGAATCTAACCCAATTAATTTAAATTTTTTCTTTTTTATAGGATACTCTCTGTGTTTGTTTCTTTTTTTTTCTCATCAAGGTTGTAATATAAAGCTGTTCAACCATCTTTTACTTTCATATATTATCAGCAACACTTTTGTACAGGAACCTGAAGTTCGATGTTTTGGGAGGACACCTTGCACTTGCAAACCTGCAAATCTGAAGTGTATGTGCTTTTTCATTTGCTATGAGCAGTTTCCTGAGGCAGTGGAACTCACCTAGTGAAGTTGCAACATGGGAATACAGTAAATCCTCAAAGAAATGCAGACCCTGGCAGTGGTAAGGGAGCCATCCAGTGGGCTCTTGTGAGACATACAGCCACGAAAAAATAAAATTAACTAATTTCAGGGAGTTTTCTGCCTTTTTGATTGCAAGATGTTAAGTGTTGTTGTCCTTTTGTCCAAAGCCTGCTTGTACTATTAAATGCCAAATTCCTTTACTTTTTGTGTTCATAGTAAGGAACTAATTTTCCCTGAAACATGAGAGTTTCTGAAGATCAGGATATGGAGTTGCATTTTCTAGAATGCTCATTCAATTAAACTGTCAACGCCAAGCTCTGGGGTTTTTTTTCAGTTTATGTAATGGAAAGGGAAAATCGCCATATAATAATGAATGAGGTTGGAAGGCATTAATACATTCCTTTGATTTCTATTTTGAAATACAGTTTAATCCTAATGGTTTTGATGTTAAGTATGTGATATTTTAAATTAATTTAAAAGGTTTCCAAATTCTCATTAGAGATTTCTTTAAATTCTTTTAAAAGATTCTTACAGATGATTTATGGATAATTTAACTATGATTTGTTCACTTACCAGAGTAAACTAAAAAATAATGAAAAAGATTACTGTTAATGCTTACAGCAGCACAAGATTTGCAACACAGAAAATTTTGGATTATAGTCCAAGGAGTAAGGAGAAATTGCCATTGGTTTCTAAGCTTGGAGAAAATGTTAATTGAAAGGAAAATTAAGATTTATCTTTATTCCACATAATTCAGCACATAGGAGATTTTTTTCCTGTCATTCTTACTCCTCAAAACTTGATGAGGGATTGATCTGCAGTAAAAAAACTTGACTTTGTTCCTTGTCAAAGAATGGATTAAAGAGTTATAATGTCAGATATAATCACAAAGTCAGAAAAAAAATGCAACTGAGCAACTCTTAATTGAAAAGCTAAGAAGAACTCAGCACAATACTAGAGATGGATTTAAAATTTTTATTCCTCCATGTATGGTATGAGACACTGAGGCGTGTTTCTCTTCTGATCACCATTAAAATCTGTCAGTATAGTACAGAATCTTTTGCTGAAATATGTGTAATATGGCAAAGCACATTAATCAACTAGTTATTTAATAATAATTTTTTTTAATGTTTCTGTAAGGAAAATTGTGAGAGGGCCACGAACACATCAGCAGGCTCTAACTGCCATGAGAAGCCTGCAACCTCCTTTCTTTGCATCCCCCCTCTGTAAACTATTCCCCTCACTGAGCGCTTGACTGCTTTTATGTAAGGTCAATTCAATTTCCCTTGCAGAGAGACCAGCCTTTGCTGCTCCCTGACAGGTTTATTTGCCATGTCTTCCTCCAAATATCTGTTATTAGTGCCTCAAAAATGTATCTCCACTTTTTAATTAAAAAAAAGGTAAACTCTATAAGTTTCTTGAGTATGTGTCACAGTCATGTTGACCTCATTAAATTGAATAAAATATTGTTCAGTGTAAGAAGCAGCTTAATAAAGACCCATGACAAAGGTTTCAAATAGATTATTCTTCTCTGTTTGCTGAAGAAAAAAAAAGGCTGAATTTAGGAGAGGATCAGGTTTACTTCAATAGTGTTTGCCTAAGTAGATTACAATAGGAACACTGACAACTCCTAATTTCATAGCAAATTTTAGATGCCTTCTAAAAAGCATTCATGAATCTTCTGCTAAAATCACCAGTTCTCTGGAATCTGAATTTCTATACGTATTAATTTCTGCATTACAGTAAAGGCAGATGAAGTTACTAATTTTAAGCATTTTTTATTATTAGAATCATGCATATGAGACTTTGTAACACAATGCTGAAAAGTCTGTGTCTGCAGTTAAAACCCATTAAATTTATTGATATTTATATAGTACAAATATACCTAAACATTGCAGATCACCTCATCTGTTAAAACTAAGTTCCAAAAAATATTGAGGTTGAAGTTCTTTCTAGTTTGTTGTCAGTGACTTGTTATGTTTCCTTTGAATAAAAACCATACAAACTTATTTCAGTTTTGAAAAAAGCTACTCAGTAGTAAATGGTCAAAATCAATCCTGGTTGATAGATTTGCTTTGCTTTGAAGTTCATCAGTCTGATGGTTATGGAAAATCTGTTGGAATCTTAGTGTTAGGCTGTAAGAATGAGTATGGATGTCACACATACCACAAAGCTCCAAATTTGCATTAGAAAAAGACCAAAGGAATGCATGTAAGACTGAGAATCATGAGTTAGAATTATGGATTTGCCATTTGCTATTGCCTGGTATTGGCTAAGTCATTTTTCTGTCTGTAGTTTATTTAAAATGTACACAATGAAATTTGTATCCACCTTTATTTTACCTTAATGTTTTACAAAACTTTGGTTCAGAATGTACCATGCAACTGCAAGTGTTATTGTAGGCTATACCAACGCAGAAGCGATGCCACTCTGCAATACCACAGCTTCAACCATTTTGCTTATTTACTGTTCTAACATGAGGAAAAAGTGTGGATTTCCACCCAACTAGTACATTTAGAGCAAGATACATATCCAATAATACATGGGAAAGGTGTATATATACGAATACGACAAGAGTCAGGGAGACAAACTTATAGTTCTAGTACAGATAGTAAAGCTACTGTTGTCAGAATGAATTTTTGAGTTATCTCCAAAAAAAGTAGATAATGCAATATGAAAACACTGGAGACAGAATTAAGAAGACATTGTATAACTTTTACAGTAATATAATATACCAACAAAGAGATAACTCAGGGTTCATATTTGAGGACTTATCTCGGTGTCCTTCTGAAAGGAAAATTTCATTTAAAAAAATGTTTTATTCTCACCCAAAGTATTTTTATCCCATTTCCATGTTCCCGAGGCTCCTCCCAGAAGTGATTTTTCCCGGCATAAATTCCTCTTACAGAATGGAATCACCAGCAGTTAACATAGAATAATTGAAGTTGGAAGAGACCTCCAGAAATCATGTAGTCAGCTCTGCTGCTCGGTAGAGGTCAACTGAAATGTGTTACTCATCACTTGTTATGCACATCATTACATTTTGACTAATTCATGGCTGACTTTGAGATCCATCTGACCATCAGGAACAAATCTTAGAGTTCTTCTTTTCATCTAATGCAAGAACTGGGGCTTGTTCTGTATCCAGGTTACACTTCGTTAGCTCCAGTTTCAAAAACATTGAGCAATTATTCCTGTTAATTATTAGGCTCATTTAAATAAGAGATAATTGAGAAGAATGAGTACCATACAGATATTGAAATGCTTTAGATAGTTTGTCAGACGGTCTTTAAAAGCACAGGTAATTTTTACCATGCCAAAAACATTGTTTTGAAAAAGAAAAAAAAAGTTATAGCAAAAGTACATCAGTGTGACAGGATGAAATGTTATTTTCTCTACTCTTGACTCAAACATGTAAAATAATTTTAAGGTTTATCTTAAAAGTAAAGCTTAATAGTCAGCAAAGATAGCCCAACATTTGAAATGCAAAACATATTTTTTTATAATGTTACTAGTCAACATATGATAGTAGTTAACACTAGTGTAATACTAAATTAGTGTGATTAATAGTGTACTATGAGTTTATTCAAGGCAATTACATAATTAAATTAATTATACACAGAAAATGTGGGGGTGCCAGTAAAGGAAGCAGCAAAGGTCAGAATTTATAGGTTTTCTGAAACTGCACTTTGGATTATATATCCTCTGTTTCTAAATAACAGCTGTATATGTAGTCAAACTGAAAACAAGCCAAACTCATAATTAATTACTATTAACTACTTTCTGTCTTTCTAAGCTATCAAAGAAATTAAGCTGATACCTGACTCAGAGGTGGTGCAAATTCTAATACAGCTGCAGTGAATAATGAGGAACGTATGACTTTCTAAATAGTCAGAAGTACCCATATGCATGGACAGATATACTTAATTCTTTCTCTTTATTTTCCTTCATTTCTTCTCATATAGGAAAAACAGGTAATTTGATATGCCACTTAAACAGTTAACACGATGTTTATTGAGGAGCTAAAGCTTCAAATGACTGGCAATCAATTAAATTTCTGTTGTCGATAGACAACATACTTGTTACTTTACCATACATCCTAGGGCACCACTTCAATTAGCCTTATTTGCAGCTCCCTGTACAACTGTAGAATACCATGCAGCCAGAGGTGAGCTTAGGGCTAAAAGAATGTTTTTAAACATAACCATTATAACTTCTTTGAACTGCAATTTGCACTCATTTGGGAAATTATTGGTACTGTAATAAAAAGGCTTTGGAACTGATATGGACATTTCAAGACATGGTCCTCTGCTCAGCTATGTGAGAACTACAGGTTTTTAGCCAGGGATAGTGTAGTTAACTCTTCTACTCATTAGTTTTCTAGAAGGATGAAGGAATGTGCATAGAGTCACACTATTCTTTCTAAGCTTTATTATCAAACTTTTTGTTTGTTCTTCTCCATTTCATACTTTTTAGCTATTTTTTTTCCTAGTGTGTCTTTCTGTTCTCTCTACTGTGTCTTTCTGTTCTCACCTGTTCTATTTCTCTAATCAGGTGCCATTACTATCTATGTCAAATGACACTACTATCTTATTTTTTAACTGTGAAACTTTACAAAATTATTGCTGCTGTTTTCCATAAGGGCTTTTTTCCCTTGAATTGTTAAAAAAAAAATCTCATTTCTAAGGCAGACAGTAAAAGTACAAAATTCTGCACATAACCATAATTTAAGATTTAATTATAAAATAGATTCAAAATTCACTGAGGTCAACATTACTTTTGTGGTGATATCAGCAACGCTGATTTCATTTGTGTGCTTTGTATGAGTTTTATGATGACTTATCTTTTCATCAATTTGCCATCTAGAGAGCAAATTTTTGTAATTTAGTGAGATGATCACATTGCCAGTAATAAATATATGACTATGAAGTGTTTGTGTATCACAGAGTGAAATTATTGTACCTGTTGCATAATCTAATCAATTTCTTGTGCAACATCATAAGTAGTGCTAAAATAATTTCATTCTAGTGTAATGTGTGATGAAAACAGTACCTAGAGTTTTGGGGCTTCTTTTTCTTCCCACTTACTTATTGAGCTCTTGGCAGGTCCAGAATTTTTAAGTATTATTTAGAGAATACTCAAAATCTGTTCAGTCAGCATTGAAACGAACAAAATTATTTTCACTATCTGAAGAATACAATAAGCAAGCCACGAAAGCTTTTAAGATATAATAGACCTTTGGAGTTTGGTCTACAATAGATAATTGTCTTACTGCAATGTTCATTGGTGTGACTGACTGATTGACTGACTCTGACTGACTGACTGACCTTAGGGTTCCTATTTCAGGTATGCACTGTTGATGATATTTACACAGAGCAATTCCTGCAAGTGTTGTGTATCTTACAGTCTGTTTTGCTGCAACTAAGCAACAGCTTCTTGGCTAGATGCATCATGTCTCTAATTTTTGCACATACATTCCTAAATTCCTTACATGACAGAAAATTGCTACTAAATCATGGTGGAACTCCATATACAGCAGTGCAGAACCACATCTTTAACACGTACTCATCTGGATCACTTTTAGTTTGTTTTCTCTTGTATTTCAAATGTGTTAAGCCCTGTAGGGTATGATCTATGGACATTTAAGTGTTGTCATCTTCTATTTCACACCAACAGATCCTGTTGCTAAAAGACAGGTACTCTTACTGCTCCTCCAGTATACCACACATAAGCACCTAGTGTTTATTTAATTCAGTTATTTTGAACATAATTATTTTTCAGATGTTGTTCTGCACTCTGCTTTGTAGATGAACATGATTGCATTTCTCCTCTAGGATTCAGAGGTGGAAGCCAATATGTCAGAGCAACTTTCTGCCAGTGTTCACAGGCACCTGTCAGTGTCTCCTTCCAGCTACCTGCACACTGTGCATCTGATGCTCTGTATACATCTTAGAGAGGTGGATAGATGCTGAAATTGCATAATGGAGTGTATGGAATGACTTGGAGATACAAGTGCAGAGGGATGTTCTAACTTTCAGCTTCTTCCCTCATTCTCAGTTAGACCTGAGACACCTTTTCCACTCCTTTCTCAAAGTCAGTCCGGATATGCACATATGTGTTTAATAACTTCTAAATGTTTTCTTGTCAAGTTCAGAGCTTATAACAGACATTTTAAAAAAAGTAAAACATTTACCACAGGGAGAACTCACTGCACTTTTTATGTTCATATTCACGTATGTTCCTTCTTTTTCCATCTTTGAAATATCCCCCATGTATTTTTCCTATTCCAGAAGATTTCATATCCTTGAAAAGATAATTGTTCAGGTAAGACACAGAGACTGATCTGTTGGTATGTTTTTCAAATTTAGCCTTTCTCTATTGCTGTTGAAAGTAGGGAAATAAAAGATGTCAGTGACTCAGAAACTACGTAAATGTAAGATTTCAGCCAAAACAGAAATTAGTTGATCTCAAACTTCCTCCTCTTCTTAGGAGTGTGGGCACTTAAGCCACTGAAAGGTAGACAAGTTACTTTTCCTATAAATATGACACCCTGAAGTAAAAATTTTTGTCCTCGTTGGGTTCTTTGTTTTCCAGCTTGCAAATATCAAGTGAGTCGTCATTCACATGCAGATAGTAACGTCTATCTTCATAGCATTGGAACTGTACTGAATCTCCTTGGCAGTGCATGATGAAAAAGTTATTATCTTCATTCAGCTATGAAAATATACAAGGTAAAGAATGCATGTTACATTTTTAAAGCCTTTCTATAGGGTTTTGTGTGACAAAAGTTCATATATGTTGCTGGCTTGTTGTATTTTGAATGCTTTTGGCCAATGACACATTTTTAAATAAATTTTTGACAACACCTAATCATTTTGGGACAGATTTTGTGATAATTATGAATAAAATAATACCCATCTTCCTCAGAGCACTGAATAATAACATAGCTTCATTTTTTTGCTTCACAGAAAAAAAAAGTCAATCCACAGTTTTTCTTGCCTCTTTTGAAGTAAAATTAGAACGTTACAGTAGAAATTACTGTTAAACAACTGTTCTATTACCTATGATTTTTCCATACATCTCGTTTCCAATGTGCTTTTTTTAAGACCCATCTCTGCAGGAATAGCTACATTTCAAACAGTCCCTCTGTGTGTGTGGTTGTATTTAGCCTCTTTAGGCCCCTTAGGGTGAGGACTAAGAAATAGTCCTTACCAGAAAACATCATGCTAGAGAGAGGAAGAGTATGTGCGAAAGGTAGCCTTGGAAACCATAAGACCTGGAGACTAGCAGCCCTGTGAAATTTGTAAAACCTGGTAAGCTTGGGGTACCAAGGAGCTGCTGAACCTGCCCACATCCTCCAGCACACACTGGCACCTACCACGGGTCATGTAACCCACACCACATATGTGATCACAGCTGCTGAAATGAGGAACCCCATGTGCGACTGTGCACAACTCGAGGAACCCCTTGGAGCCCGTGCTCCTGATTGTGTACACTGAGTGAAGGAGTAACTCAGAAGACTGTGTGAATAGTTATCTGCTGCTAATCATAAGACCCTACTGGCAATAGCAAGACCTTAATTAACAGAAAATTGAGATTTGTATTTCTGGCAACTCAGCCTCCTGTCAGGGAGCAGGGAATATACGATATCTTTTGGGAAAGACTGAATGCATCATAATCTAATTATTTCAACTTTCCCTTTGAGTGACCTCTTTGAACACTCATCCTACCCAAAAGACAGTTCTGTAACACTAACAGGTCTGATGCATTATCATTGCTTAAGGAGACCTCTAAAAGGAAACTGAGCAGGCCCAGAGAAGAGCAGCAAGGCTGGTGAAGGGACTCGAGCACAAGTCCTATGAGGAGAGGCTGAAGGAACTGAGGTTGTTTAGCCTGGAGAGGAGGAGGCTCAGGGGAGACCTCCTCACTCTCTACAGCTCCCTGAAAGGAGGTTGTAGCCAGGTGGGGGTTGGTCTCTTCTCTCAGGCATCTATCAGTAAGACAAGAGGGCATGGTCTTAAGCTGTGCCAGGGGAGGTTTAGGTTGGATATTAGGAAGAAATTCTTTTCAGAGAGGGTAATCAGATATTGGATTGGGCTGCCCAGGGAGGTGATGGATTGTCCATCCCTGGAGGTTTTTAAGATGAGACTGGATGTGGCACTTAGTGCCATGGTCTAGTAACCACAGTGATGTTGGATCAAGGGTTGGACTTGATGATCTCAGAGGTCCCTTCCAACCCAATTGATTCTATGATTCTACAATTCTGTGAATGCTTGGTGAAAAGGATGAGACTATTAAAACATCAGAGCTACACTTGAGATTGCAGCGTTGGTAATAATGAACTTTCCATGGAAGGAGCAATGTGTCCTTTCAGCCTGTATGACAAAAGGCCCGTTTGACAGTTATGGTAGAGTACCTGAAAGAAACTTGAGGACACACCTTCTATACCAGCAAAGCTATAATGGGAAGCAGCTAAAACATTCTGTCCTGATCGAGTCAGTGTAACAACAGTGTATCTGCAGCTTCAATCCAAAAAGTCTGTTTTAAATAATACTGTTAAGAAAGTTGAGGAAAATTTGTCTTTAGAAAAGAAATATCTTTTAGGGACTCAGAATGGATATAAGGAAACATATATGGAATAAGACATTTTGGTGAAAGAAAATCTGCAGAAGCAAGGAGAGAGATTCATATGTATGATGCAGAAATCCATTCTAGAGCGAGGGAGATGCCAGTGTGGTCTGCTGAATGTGAAGCCAAAATTAAATGCTTGTAAAAGGAGATTGAGATAGAAAAAATAAAAAATGCCTACTGTAACAGCATGAAATGATGGAAAATTAGATGGACAACTATCACAGGAAAAATTATTTGGTGAATGACATTATGCGACTAGGAGAAGAAAGAGGAACTGGGAGTAGAAGCATAGTGAAACACTGCTAGGACTAGGAGTTGCAGTAGGTCATTGGAGAACAAATTGTTTTGCAAGAAATCATGACAGAGGTAATTTTCTATTATGGCCTGTAAAGAAGGATGGTGGAGAATGTAGTCAACTACTGCCAGAAAAAGTTCTTCCTGACGACAGCTTCTACAGCAGCAGGGATGCCTGAGAGGTTGTTTGGAAATTCCAGGAAAAGAACTGCTGCTTTTCAGCTACCATCTGACCATTTGTTTTCCATTGCATTAAATGAAGAACCAATTTGCAGATTAGGTTTCACATTTAGTGCCAAAAAAAACACCTTTTCTTATGTCCCACAAGTGATTCACAATGCACTTGCAATAGCACATGTATGCTCATGTTTGAAAAATGCTACAAATATTGTCTCCACATGTTAAAGAAAAATACATCAGTGATGGGAGCTACAGAAAGAGATGTGAGGGAGTAGTATCCAAGGTTTAAATAAATAGACTCAAAATTATGTAAAGTCAGATTGAATAAGGCACAGTGAGCAGGCTAAGTTCAGCTGCTACGCTCTAAACTAGGACGCAGCCAGAAGATGAAAAGGAATAGATATGAAGGCCAGATGAAACAGAACATCTTGCATTGTTACAACTCATTGTGCAAAGGAGTACAGGGCACACTGCAATCTACATATTGCCTCTTAAGAAACAAGGAAATGAGCACATGATTAAACAAGCATGAGTTGTACAATGATAATAGGCAAACTAGTAAAACTGAGCTGCCACCAAAATTGCATACGAGAAGCTATGGACCTTGAAAGGTATTACAAATTAATTAAGTGATTTGTGGCTAAAATAGGGTTGACGACACACCAGTGTTTTGGCTGCTGCTAAGCAGTGCACGTACAACATTAAGAGTTTCTCTTTCTTCTGACTCAGCCTCAGTGAGTAGGCTGGGGTGCGCAAAAGGCTGGGAGGGGACGCAGACGGAACAGCTGTCTCAGAGTGGCTGAAGAGATACTCCATGGTATATGATGTCATGGTCAGGCATAAAAACTGATGTTTTTAAGGAGGATGTGAGGTTGAGTGGGTGGGAGTTTGCTTCCAAGGAGGCTATTGCTCAGAGACTGGAAGGGTATTGATCTGCTTGTGGGAGGAGATGAGTAATTGGGGTTTTTCTGACATTCACGTGGGGGTTTTTTGAGTCTTTTGCTTGACTCAAAAGTTTTCTTACTTTTGCTTTTGCTATTCTCTCCTCTGTCCACAGGCAGGGAGTGGGTTTGGGTGAGTAACTGGGCTGGGGGCTTTGATGCTGGCTGGGGCCAACACACTTCAGTGCTTTTTCTTCTCACAGCTGGTCCTGTGCAACCAATCCTGGCTCAGCTGGTTCAGGTGTATTGGACACCCCTCCACTGAAAGTAAACTGTAGCCTGCAGTCTGCTGCTAAAGGGGTCAAGAATAATGTTTTGGAAATATCAGTTGTATCAGTCTGCCCCATTTGATTGCCATTCGTACTGAGGCAGTAGGATAACTGATACAGCAGCCCAGCCGTCAATAGTGGCATGACTTTGTTCAGCCCAGAATCGTCCTCTTTCACCCTCTGTCAGACTGTCACACTGGCCATATGTGACTCCTGAAGCTTGCTAATCACTCCTTGGCTCTCCAATAGATGAATCAACAGTTGCAGCCAAAAAAATCCCCTCAAGCTGCACCCTGGGTGCCAAAAAGGACTGTGGGTGGTTGACCTCAGCTGGCTGCCAAACACATACTTAAAAGGTCAGAAATTCTGAACCAAGGTATTTTGGTGGGCCTCACATTACAGGTTTTACCTGGTTAAAGTTTATTTTGGCCTATTTAACTGGAGTAAAGGGTATGTCTCACAATAAGATCTTTCCTGAGTGCATAGCTAGCCTCCAATGTAAGCTCTCTGTCTTATTTAGCTTCATCTAACTACTCAGTAAAATATAGAGGACTCTAGAATAAAAATTGTTACAGCTATTAATGGGACTTTTACAGCTGCAGTCCTTCAGGTCTCAGTTCACCTAGGCTGAGGAATTCCAGTCAAAGTTTTGGGGAAATGCTGTCAATATACAGTCACCTATTAACCCTGAATTATCCAGCAAAGAACAACAACTTGAAGAGGAGCAGTCAGATCCAGTGATAGAATTGTTGAATTCTGTTTTTTACTTATCTTTTAAGCAAATGCTTTAATCCAAGAAAATTTGAAACTGAGAGAAAACTGAGTGCTACTAGTGCTTAGGAAAAGCTGAGAGGGATAAGTATACATATGTAAAAGTCTGAGGGTGGTAATATGTCAAGAATAATAAAATATTATAGTTGAACCAGAACAGAAACTACACTGAAGGGAGATACTACAGATATGTACTGAAAAAATGCGTACCTTTCTGATAGCAAATATATACTCACTAATTCCTGTTCTTCTGGAAGAGTAAAAAAAAAATAGTTAAATATATACATAATTAATGAAACTGGTAAAATGGGAGCCATATTGTCTAGTGGAAGAATTATATGTAAGGGGTTGGGACACATTCCCTCGCTGTCAACATATTGTGGGGATAAAACTGGGAAAACCTTTTTGGTGGTGGAGTTAAAAGGAAATACTGTTCTGTGTCTCTTAATTCATCATGTTGTATGGCTAACTGCATTTGCTTCTATGAAATTATTAATTCTGATAAGCATGTTCTACTACAGAGTTAAAATAATCACAGTTATAAGTAAATGCAAGCCTGCACCTGAGTAAACCACTGGGGATGGTCTCTCCTCTGCTGCTCTAGCTGGAATACTGCAACTGTGTGTGCTTTGTGAGGCTGTAACCGTGTCTACTGTGCAGTTTTCTACTCTTTCCATGATAGTGTTGCAATAAATATTGGTTTTCATCTGTGTTACCTTCCCGGCTTAATGCCCTATCAGTATCAGATGTTATTACAAACTATTATGTGCTGTAACAAGTTTTTATTATTTTATTGCCATAAGAACCTAATTCTTATGGCGATAAGAATTCACTGGTAGTGAACCATGTCTCCACAAGCCTTGGTAACAGAAATAGGTGTTGACAACACGATATGCAACTCTACCTGCTGGTATAACAGCAGGCTCCATAGATTCTCACATTTCTGATAATTCTACTGGCACTATTTAAATAAAAAAAGGGAAATGCCTGTCTTTAAGATTATGGTTCAAAGGTACTGGACTAAAAGTCACATTTCAGCCTCACACAGCTTTGCATTGTCCATGAGAAGTATTTTTCCATCTCAGTGCACTTTTCCATCCTAAGGACAATGGAGGCTCTACTCATCACACTAGAAATTTTTTACTCATCAGTGCACTCATTTTAGATGGTTTATTTAGAATCTCATGAGTCAGACTTGCCTAAGATTTTGCCTCTTGGCCCAAATGGATGTAATTCAAGTAATGGATGTAATTCAGACTACTGATTTCTTCTCGCAAAAATGAGTAACATTTCTTCTTCTGTTTGAGTGTATTAACAAGAAACCATGATGAGCAGATCACTGTCTGTCTTGTTAGGCCACATATGGGTTCTCAGATTGAATTTTTCATTTTAATTCTTTTTAGAAAACTGAACTGATGAATAGGTGTCTACAGGCAACTGTTACAGCTCTTTTTCCCAGATGTTTCCCCAGACTTGCAGACATCAAGACTAATTCTTTCCCTGTGAACAGCTCCACAGAAAAAGGCATGTATTTTCATTTGAAAAAAAAAAAAGAAATATATTTTAGAAGGATACAATATGACCGTGAAAGTTTACATAATACAAGGAGGGGACTAGTAGTTGCCTTATAAATTTCCTAAGCTTTGTTGCTTTCTCCTGTGTAGAGTCAAGGAATATTAGTGGCAGGTAAGTAACTCAGTAGAACTTACACAAAGGACCCACTTAGATTTTCCAAGCCCAGTATGCAGGAGATTATTACTTAATTAGTATAGCTCATACTTTTGGAAGATCATTTCAGAAAGACTTCATTTTACCAGAATCGGTAAATCAATCCTTTCTGGTTTAGGAGAAAGGTTAGCAATGTTAGAAATATTAGGCTGGGAATTTCAGGTATTTGGGGTTTCATATTCACTGTTATGAAGTTCTGAAACTATCTGATCCCAGATAGCTCTAATTTTGCTTGCTGTAACTGGAAAGTTTGTCTTTTCAGTTTCCCTAAATAATAAACTCGCAAGGCTACAACCCTAATAAAAATTATTATTATGTACATTTTCTTAGTTTTGCATTTCTTTTAGGTTACAATGTCCATTTAAGGTATCTTAGAGACCAATTAAAGTCATTTTCTTCATGTGCTTACAATGTTTTATCATCCCTATCTAGAGAAGAGCCAACAAAATCAAGCTTTCATCGCAAAAACATGTTAAGAATCATAGAATCATAGAATCATAGAATCGATTGGGTTGGAAAAGACCTCTGAGATCATTGAGTCCAACCCTTGGTCCAAAGAAAACAGCTGGCAACCTGTTTTTCTATCCACAAGGCATTACTCCTGATCTGTAGTCATCTAATGATACAGGATTCATTCTGAACATATGACAGGAAGGGCTTACTTTTGATCTCTTCATTAGAATAAATCATATATGCATCTTTTACATCTTTATTACTTCCCCGAAGTTTATGACTCATGGTATCACTATTTCTTACAAATGTTCCAACCTCTGTAATCTGATTCTTCTAGACCTGCTAAACACTGATCCAGATTTTCTAGCTCTTGTCTAAGAACTTCTACCAGAAGAAAACTACTTTGTATCTCCCTGCATTTTATGTGAGCAAAATACAGGAAATATAACCATCTTTCATGTATTAATTGATAGTCAGATATTTTGTCTGTAGATTGAAAGATGTGCTCATACATACAAGTCAGGTAAAAAAAAAGGAAATTTTTTTCCTGAAGGAAATAATAAAGATCAGCTGAAAGTAAAAGAAAGGAAACAATTTGTCACCTAACCAGTAATAGCAGGATGCACTTAGATGCCCTTTTTATGCAGCTACGTTTGCATACAGAGTGTCTCACACACATTTTGGGGGGGTTTTGATCAAGATTGTATACCTGTTTGAAGTCAGGATCTTCATGGGTGCATGTTTTCATGTTGCATCTTTTCATGGAAGGACAATCTGGCTCTGAACACGATGCTTTTACGACCTATGTTTACAACCACCAAGATTTGTTAAATTTATAATTTAGTTTGGTAATTTTTTTTCATATTTTGATTTTTTAGCTCATCAAATGTGGCATTAATTCTAAAGAAAACTATCTTTTTTATAAAGTTCATTAATTATCATAGTCAAATTATCCAAGATGAATAGGTTGGTAAGTTTCTGAAACATTTCCATGAATATATTCCTCTTTTAACATTTGCAACACAAAATGAATTGGGTTGAAAGCCAATACTGAAGGTAGACCTTCAGAATGTTTAATGGTCAGATTCTGTTTTGCAACACAGCACAGACTGAACCATGTTGTATAAGGATACCAAAATCTTATTACAGATAAAAAACCTTGTTGACTTCCATATCAGAATTCCTGTTGAAATTAAGAAAATTATTTCTATTCTGGTGGAAAAAGAAGGTCCATGATCTTTCCAAGGTTTTTACACCATCTTCCCTCATTTTCAGATAAGAACTGCTTTCAGTGATGTCAAGAAACATAATCTGTTATGACCTCGAATTTTAAAAGAAGTCATTTGTAAGTTAAATCCATTAGGGGTCAGAATTCAATTATTTTCTTGATTTGGTGGAACATGCCTCAAACAATTAATTTAGGAAAAGGTAACCCCTAAACAGAAAAAAAATCCTTTCACAATAATCACTCTTTCAAGGACAGAAAGGAAATAGTATATAAATATAATTTTATGTACCTTACAGCATACATTTCCCCAAATAATTTCAGGAAATAGATTTTATAGAAAGTCATCTATGAGTTAAAAAACAAATGAAAAACATCCAAGACTTTTAAAGGAAGTACTTAGTGATTTACACCATCATGCATGGCCAGCATTAGATGAAGGGTTATTCTTTATCTCAACACAACCTGTGTAAACAGACCTTCTTGGATCTTTGCCCTGTTTTAGGGGGTAGATTGCAACATAGCATTCTTTCTCATAGCATTTCTTCCAACACAGAAAGATTTTGGTAATGGTTATAACGCCTCAATAGGGAAGACTATCCTTGCCTTCTCTTCCAACCATAAACAAACCTTCACAAGACTGGAGAAAATGAGAATGCTCAGACAACAGGTGGTTTAAAACAGGATATTCTGTTTCAGCTCAGTATTTTCTTTTCATCACATTCCTCATCTTGCAGCGTGGGTTGATTAGGAGAAAACAATTCCCTTCTTAAACTCTTCTCTTTCCAAGGCAAGATGCCTGATTTCTCCTCCCCTCTTATTTCCTGCGTGTTTTCTGGTTAAGAAGTCCCCTCTTCTTCCACGGAGACTGAACCCTAACAACCCCGATTGTCTCCTAACCCAAAGATTTTCTTGGAATTTTTCCCCAGAAAGAATAAAAGGAGGTACTTGGAAATTGTGGAATGTGGAAGGTGGTAAGTAAAGTGAATTTGAAAAAGTCTGTGGGGAAATTGTTCTGTAGTAAGAAAGAGCACTCACTAGTTATAGAGGAAATGAACAATTTCTTACCTTCAGAGAGAGGCGCTTCTTACCCTTGCACAATAGGACAAATTCATTAAGCTTTGATCTCTGAGTGAGGCTCACCAAATTTTTAGAATCTGTTTTACAAAGAGAAGAATATTGTAATAATAGGAGTATCACTTTGTAAAATGAAGCACAGATAAATATACTTTACAAAGAGAAAACATTCAGGTTTACTTTACATTGATAGGTATAGGCACAGAAATAAATATAATCATTCTTGATACCACTCTCCTGTGTAAAATATTTAAAGCCTATCATTTTATGAGGCTTTAATTTTGCCATATATACACTTTATTTCTCTACATTTATAGCTAATGTATGGAATATCAGTTATACATTAATATATATAAAATGAACTACAAAGACACATACAGCAGTAGTTAACACATACATATAATACACATGTGGGTAGAGCCCTTCCCAAGTCTTCGTTTGCGAAGCCTAGCCATGATTATGGGATATACATGACTACATATATGTTGTTATGGAAAACATAGGATTTTTTTCCCCTTTTGCTTTCTTCATGCTTTCAAGATCAAAACCCTTCTACTATCGTTATTGTGGGTGCATTGGATTAACTCTTCTTGAGATAATACTGGTTTTTCTCCTGCAGGAAGTAAGACTATATCAATAATATGCTTCTCAGCTTGATAAACTGACAATATTTGTTACCTTCTGGTACTGCAAGGCCTCAGTAAAAAACAAATAAATTAAGTACCCTTTGCCAACATAAAAGCACTACCTGTTACAACCTGTTGCAAACCCATTACATCAACGACTATCCAGTGATGCTATATCTATCTGACTGACTTGCAAATTTACTTCAAATAATACCATTTGTGCTTTTAAAACTATCTCAGGTGTACCATTTGAGATAAAAAATACAAAAGACAGTGGCAGTTGATCTATATGTCCCTCACTGCAGCAACTGAACACAAATTTTACAGAGGTTAGGAAATTATGCATTAATAGTTGCAGTTAAGAAGACTTTTTTTTTCATATTACCAAGGGTATTTTTTAGTCTCCAAATTAGCAGAACATATTCATCCCACCTGACTCATTTTAGCTTCTCTAATCCTGGCCATGATTTTAGCTGCCCCAACTTTCCCCACCTACATTGCTTTTGTGTTAGTCTTCTGAAGGAATTTTGTCTGAGACAGGTACCGCATGAAGATATCATAAAAATCCATGTTAAAAATTGAGATGAATTCTCCAGCCTAAACTGAGTTCATTTTAGTCTGCTTACATGCATATTCAGACAAATATAGTAGACCTAAAAATGTAGTAGGTCTACAATTCTGTCATTTTTGTTGCTTTTTCTGACATCAGTTTAGATTTTAATTTCAGTTACAGCTGCAATTTCAGCCATAATGTGTAAGAAACACATTAGAAAGCAAGAGAGATTTCTTATGCAAGTCAAGAGTGTTCTGACTTGGAGGTGAGAGTGACAACAAAAGAGGTATGCTGGAGTCCATCCAGTTGACCAGGGACATAAGACAACATGAGTTACATCCTAACTATCCTTGGCTTTCCTCATCTATAGAGTTTATTGTGACATGCTTTATACATTGTTTAGACTGAGTAAATCCAAAGAAGTCCAATTTTCTCTATCACCTCCAAAAGATGTGACAAGCGGTCTACCAGCAGCCAGCAAGTGGCAAGGAAAGTAAGAAACCTTTCCATGATTTTATAAGTGTACTTCCACTTTCTGATGGCCTTTGAATTAATTACCTAGTCTTTCTGGTTACTAAAGCCTTACCAGAGTTTAAGGGGCAATTTTAAAATCCATGCAGAGAAAATGCCTTGAAATTAATGAAATCCAGTAACTTCCTGCTTGGAATGTCCCTAAAATGCAAAGTATTGGAAACTGGGAGGATATCAGTATTTTATACTGTTCCACAGAAATCTTCATTTGGCCTTTGTTCAAGGTGCAGTACTGGACCAGATGGTTATTTGTTCTCAGTGATTACAGCAGCCTTTGGTAGCTGGAATTGGAATGCATTTTTCATCCACTGTAATACCTGGAACCAATATATCTTTAATTTTCCCAATTGTTTCTTAGGCATACAATACGAAAGTTGCAAAAGTGTGCTTCCTCTTCCTCGTATCCATTTCTTTTTGTTTTTCCTCTCCTGCTACAACAAGGTTTTTGCTAGCTAAGATCCATATGCCAGCAATAGAGCATTTGCACTTTTCTATAAAAAAATTGGATTTTCTAGCTTAAATACAATATATTCTCTTATATAAATTTGTGTTCAGTCCAAGCCGCTAGTCCTAATTTGCTAAAGCAAATTTTGTGCATTTTAAGATTTCTTCTCATGGAACACAGAAAGGCTATTTCATTTTTAGAATTCTCCAATAACCTGACCTAAGTGAAAAATCTGGGACAATATGTTACTTCTAATATCAAGTCTATGTATAAAACATTACTAACTTCTTTCCCTACTTGCAAACATATCTTCAAAACTAGACCCTAACAAACAGAATGATACCCTTTATTTCACAGGAGATTTACCAGTAATTTCTGATTCATTCCTCGTAAACACGCTCAACCACGCGATGTCTAAAATAGAAAATATTTAACAAATATGTGGAATTAGAGACATACGTTCTTGACATTTAAAAACGTTACAAACAATTTAAAGAATTGTTTTAAAACATAATCTGAGAAAGAGCATGTAATAGCAATAAGCATCAGATTTCTTCTCTTCTGAATCTCTGAATTCATTTAACCCCGGAAGGCTTTACAGTTAGACTTGTTAACAGGTACCCCAAAGTCTGAACTCTGAATCTAATAAGTGTACTGATTGATTGATTAATTATGTTGTGCAAAAGCAAATGCACCTGAGAAACTAGAGAGGGGTAATCAAATGTAAGGTCTAAAATCCTGTTAGAGGGGAGCTTGAAAGTGCTTTGGCAGCAGAAGTGAGTACCCTAATAAGAAATGTACAAGACTAGAAGGTAACAAATAGCAATAGCAGGCGGTTTAAGGCTTTTCTAACACTGTCCTGAATCACCCAGACAGTCAGCTGGGAAAGGCATCACTCACTTTAGGTCAAAGTCACAAACATCAAATGGTTCCTAATATTATATTGTCCTAAGTGTGTCATCATGAATATATGTTTGTGGTGCTTGTGCGTTTGTATACACAATAATATTACATAGCATTTTCTTTCCGTGTGTTTGTTTTTCTTCTAGAAATATCTTATACATTAGGACTGTTAGATGATTTATCTATTCACAAACTGCTTCCATTGTATACCTATACAGGTTTTGATTTTGTTAATAAATTAACAATACTGATTGTATGAGTTACCTCAAAATCCTATTATATTATCAAGAAGAAACTTAAAAAGACATAAATCACACTAAATACCTTATCAGTGTAGCTGTCATTATTTACAATTTAATAGAATAAAAATTACATAAATTAAATTTATAAATATATTAAGTGAGTGTTACATTTCTTTATCTGAAGCATATGTAATGAACTCATTCTGTAAAAGCTGGGGGTTTGTAAGAAATAGTTTCAATAATTTGATAGCTAAATTATAGATTTCAACTTTTCCCTGTATTTTGGTTAGAAATATGGTTTATTGGGTTTTTTCACCCCTGCTTTCACATCTCTGGAAAGTGTATCACTCAAATAATTGCATTTGATATTATTTGACTTTATCAAAAGAACACCCTCTAACAGGCCCTTTCATGATGTTAGTTATGATAATATGTTTGGTGTCAAATTCAGAAGCCCCATTTGAGACAAAAGAATTGTTTGAGACAAAATAACCCCACAAATTCCAAAATATGCTCTGTTTTTCTCCATTTTGCCCTTGTCTCTGAGGATTATCTTTATGTTCTCTGTCTTTAGAGCTAAATCTCTAGTCTTCCCACTAAGTCAAGTGAGCATGAACAATATAATCTTCTTATCATTTAAGTATATTACATACCTCCTGTAAACCAGGATAAAAGTTTTCTTGTATCACTATCAATATTTATAAAGATGCAGTATAATGTTATGTCTACAAAAAACGTAGAATCATAGAATCATCTAGGTTGAAAAAGACCTATATGATCATCAAATGTGAACACTGATCTGACACTGCCAATTCCACCATGTTCCTCATCACTGTATCTACACACCTAAATCCCTCCAGGGGTGGTGACAATCATTCCTTGATCAGCCTTTCCCAAAGCTTGGCAGCACACTGACTGGAGAAAATTTTCTGGCACAGCTTGAGGCCATTTCCTCTCATCCTGTCTCTTGCTATTCGGGAGAAGAGGCTGTCCCACACCTCACCACAGCCTCCTCTCTCGTAGTTGTAGAAAGCAATAAGGTTTCCCCTGAGACTCCTTTTCTCCAGGTTAAATAACCTCAGCTCCCTCAGTCGCTCCTCACAGGACCTGTGCTCCAGACCCTTCACCAGCTCTGTTGCCCCTCTCTGGACACACTCCAGCACCTCAATGTCTTTCTTGACATTGGGCACAGTGAGGTGCCCAGAGCTGGACACAGTACATATAACAGTACATTTGAAAACGTCCTGAGTACTACACATACAGTTGGTAAGTTTTGGTATATAAAGCACACTACCTTCACGGGATTGTGAATCCTTGATTGATATTTCGTGATGGCCATCTTCATCTATGTCAAAATGCACTGTTTTTGAATCTTCAGTTAGTATATAACATTTCACTGTTCGTCGCAGACTAAACACTAAGCAAAAATGAATTGTAATTAATTTTGCTAGCAACAGAGAAATGGTAAAATTCCATAATAAAAGATCAAGTGTATTTTTCTAGCAATCATTACTTGATAATCTATGTATATTCGAACTGTGGGCAGAATAGCCATATATATTAGAAGTCCTAGGGTGGGCTTAAGCAGCTGGTTTGGGGGATTGATGGTGGTGTGAAGAAAGAAAATAAATATTTCTTTGTTTAGAAGGCTATCTCAGTGAAGAAGAAAAGACATATGCCAAACTTTATGGAGAGTTAACTTGTGTGAAACTTGAGCTTGAAAAAACAGCTTCCAACCCAAGAGTCTGAGGGATAGTGTAAGAAGGAGGGATTGTGGACAACCTGCACATAGCTGCCTTCAAGAATTCTAACGGGGACAGTATGAATTTAAAAATGAGAACCAACATTACCAGTTGGCTGGTGAATGAGTAGACTTACAGTAGGGAATAGAGCCCACTGGGAAGTCGGAGCCAGAGCGAGGTTTTGCACAGAAGCCTTTAAATGGAGAGACATGAGAAAAACAAAGTTACAAGATTTTATTCTTAAGAAAAAAAGAGGTAAAGCAGAGAATGGTTCTCTGCAGCATACTGTTTCTGAACTAGTTTCCTTTATTTCATAGGTAAGTACTTCCCTGTTTCCCAGTCTTGCACTTTGAAAATTGGATCTGTGTACAAACAAGAGTTTTAGGTTAGAGTGCATATGGCTACCTAAAATAGCAGCATTTATTTTGGGAACCAGACATCTCTCACTGAAAAAAATGCAGGTATTTTTGGCTAAAAGTTGCCAGGAGGGAAATTGTTCCCTATTGTTACTGAACACAACTGTGCTCTTCTGGATGTCAGAAGGATGTAGGTCCAGACGCTTGGGTGTCAGACACCTACAGGAAAAAACCATAGTCCCAATTTTGATTATGTTTAGCTGAACATTGTTTACTGGAAGAGATTTGCTACGCTGAAATCAAGTTAAGACATTTCTGAGATCACACAGACCTCTAGGGTATGTTGCAAGATAAAAAGTCCTTTCTTTGCCAGAACAATTAGGCAAGCAAAACAACAGGATACACAGAATGCACCAGCAGTGGCATAATGTTTTAGGAATGCGTGGCTTCACCAAAAACTTTGTTACTTATTTTATATTGAGGTATCTCCTCTGAAACATCTGTATTTAAGCAGATATTTTGAAAAAAATATTGTTGTTTCAAAGAAGCTTTCTTCCTACCCTGTTTACACTAAGCAGAAACTCTGCACACACAATAAAAGAGAAGGATGACACACATTCTGAAAGCCCAAACCACACCCTCCAGAAGTGGCAGGTCTGACACATTCGGTGTTGGACCTTTAGCATGTGCATAGCTGATTTACGCCTGGGCAAAGGCTTTCTCTTCAAAAACAACTGGCTATCAGGCTTCCAGAGAAAAACACAGGTTGTTCTAGAAACCAACAGGACAACAACTACAATAATCAATACAGCAAACCTTTTAAAAATTATTATATTGTGGTAGCTATAGTGTAGGAATTCTGTATCTAACTCGAATCATAAGAACTAGTACAGTGCTCAAACCAAAATGGTTCGTAAGCCTGCTTATGACATTCACTCTTTTCCAGGGAGGTACAGATGCACTTTAGGAATTACTTATCTGAATTCGGCGGTGTGAAAAATCTAGTGCTGATATTTTAAGGAGTATTTCTCTTCTGGTCATTTTAAAGGCATCTTTTGGGTTTCAGTTCCACAAGTATTTTTATTTTTTGGTGGCACTATAGATAAACTGTTCAAGATACTTAATTTTGTTGAATTCTGCATTGGATTGGAATAATCTTTCCAAGATTACCAAGATATCTGTCACTCATGTAAGAGTTACCTGATTTTCCACGAAGTGTTTTCCTTTTCCTAAGCATAGGTTGTTTCTTAACAGACTGCCTTCGACGGCAAGACACTTCATATGGCTTTTTATGACCTGAGCGGAGCAGCATTCTGGGAGCATCCGAGAAATACCGATAACCTCAGCTGACTTTCTTTTCCAGTCCTAAAGAAGGAGTTAAGATCTGTCACAAGACTTCCTGTTTCTGTTGAGCAACAAGTTTGCAAACATAAGTTTGATAAAGGAAACAGATAAACTCAATAAATGTTTGAGTGCTTGCATGACCCAAGCACATGTCTAGCAAGGCAAAAATGGTGTGTTTCCAGTAATGGTAAATAACAGTAATGAAGTTAACTATCTACATTTCCACTAAGATGCAGGATATCATGGATAACAGAGTTTTGTTGAAGTAATATATTTTGAAAGAGTTCCCCTTAGATAAGACATAAGCAGTTTATGTGACTTCAATTTCTTTATGCTTGTCAGTCGTAGGAAACTAGCTACACTTTGCTAGCTGGACTGAAAAAAGCAATTCATTTTGTCTTTCAGGATACAGTCCAAGATAATTTTCAAAGTATTAATAAGTGATTGAAAATGATGGTAACTTCAACACAGCATAATCTGATTCTCAGGAAAGACATGCAGCTCTATTGCAACCTTAAACTGAAGTTCAGGAAATTTTGCCTCAGGAATGAGGACTGGAATTTGAAAATTTGAGGAGTATACTATAATTATTAAGGAATATAATTTAGTTTAGATATCCAAAGGAGAGATCAATGTCTAAGAATGGGAACTACATTGATAGAGGAACCCTGTAGGCAACTAAGATATTCTGTTGTTGCAAGTTAAATCACTGCATTTCAGAAAACCTAAGGGTCTCACTTTGGCTTGAAGAAAGGGAAACTGAAATTCTGAAGTCTACACACTCTCTTGAAATCAACTGTTTATGACTACTGCTTATGGCAAGTGCAGACCAAAGAAAATAACTAGCTTCAATTCTGTCTAGTATCCTGGTGAATGAACCAATGAGGATGGGTACAATTCTTAGTGCTGTGCAGCTTTGCACAGAATAACTAAGAATCTGTTAGACCAGAGAGATCATGGCTCTGACACAAGTGTAATGACTTGTGAATTCACCCAGGGAAGGTGAGAGTAGTTCTGTTTTCTGATTTGGTTTAGTTTCTTGATGCAGAGTTTCACATTAAATATTTACATGAAATAGTAGAAATGAAAGAATTCTGTCCTTGGTAATGCTCTTCTTATCAAATACAAAGGGTAACTAAGTCCCTTTTTCACTCTCTTTGACACTTTAGTTATAACAACATTCAGTAAAGTCACTGAAAAGTGAAACATTCATTATAAGGAATTAATTTGCTCTGCCTAGTAAAGATGTCTCATTTTTTGAATGTCTGACAACTTGCAGCCAGAGGTAGAAATAAAAGGCCAAGTCTTCCTCACCTAGCTAAAATTGCTCTATTGCTGAACATTCAAAACAAAAGAAAATACTCTTTGTGGTTTTTCAGTAAGTCCTAGAACCTGATCTCTGGAAACATCTACTTGAATAGGGCTCTGCGGTGTAAGTGGGCACTAATAGTGGATTGTGGATCTTGAGAGATATTATTGTGCTAGGTGTTCCGTGTTAACAAAGCATTAAGACTTTGCTGCATCTATGAGGCTCAAACCCAGACACTTAATCCCTTACTTAAGATTATGAAAATATAAGTGTAATTCTAATTCAACTGCTCTTGATCAGAAGTTCTGAAGATCCTGATTTCTGATTTTTATCTACATTCATAGTCTTGAGGGTGTGTTATTTACACTTGCCACTGTAAGAAAAGAAGGAGAATGATCACAAGTCAAGACACTGAAGAATTCCTGAAGAGGGTAGAACAGTTCAAAGACATTTTCAGAAGCGTATTTAGGAAGTGGAAAAATTCTTAGGAAACTTTCTGTGATGAATGATGGACTGTAACCTTGAAGTTCTGAAGGACTGTTCTAAAGTTTAATTATTTTGGCTTGTTTAAACAAGTAGAAAATGGAAAAGTCTACAGTAGAACTTCACCTCTGTTAGCTCTACAAAACAATTAAAGATCTCTACAATAAATAACAGAAGCTTCCACAGCTTGAATTGCCTCACATGTCCCTGAAGACTAAATGACACATAAATATTCTTATTTCAATAAGCATTTCCTCTCATGAAATGTTCTTCCATAGATGTTACCTACTCCCACTTTTTTCATTTAGTCATAGTTTTTAATGCTGTGTATCTCTCTCTATGTCAATTTCTTTATTTTAATGTCTTTCGTGCCTATTTCTTCAGGTTTTTTTTCTTTCTTCTGTAAGGTTTATACTGCTTGAAGAGGACTAGGAAGATCTGGATACTGTTCTTGGCTGCAGACATGTCTATCTACCATTATTTTGGAAATCTGGATCTGTTTTTTTCATTTTGTATCTAAGTACAAGGGAGTTAAAACTCTCTAAATTGCTGAAACTAGATATAAGTGAGTACATTTGTGGCTAATGACAAGAAGATCATCCTAAAAGCAGAGGGAATCTTAATTTTTTTCCTACTACACAGACCATATAAATTCATTTATATGAAGGCAGCAAAGAAAATCTGTTATATAGCCTCTCTTACCCCCTTAGTGTTCTTAACCACCATTCTCTCTTTCACTTAACCCCAAGACACATCTGATCATCAAATTAAATCAAATTCAGTAGATGAAAACAACATTTAAAATTTTGGAGTACATTCGCACAGCGGTGTCTTCCAAATACTATTTCATGCTGTATTGGTATATTCATAACAAGATATGTCTAAGAACATCAAAAGATCAGAACTGTTTTTCTTGAGGGTATTGGGTTGCAGCTGTTAGTCCTGCTAGCAAAGATCATAAGTAACTCCTCCAGGTTTGTTCCAATTTATCGGGATTGAAAAGAACTTTTGGCATCCTATAGCTAATAAATAATGAGGTTATAGTATCTTTCAAATCAGACATTGCAAAATCTATAAACTAAATACAGGAATATCCAAAACCAGATATAAACTAGATGAAGAAAGAGATTTCAGAAGAAAATTTTAAAGTCAACTGAAAAAAATCACTATTTCATCACTAAACAAACAGTCTGATAATATAATCTTAAATTGAAGCCTGTTTAATCCTGCTGTAATCTTCCATTCTTGCTTACCTTATTTTGCCTGTTATTTTCTCTGCTGGGATACTTCTACTCAACAGAATGCTAGAAGCAGCTCTGTTACAGCGAATTTATTGCCTGAACACAGGGCAGGAAGCCAAACCTCCGAATAAAAGAAAAGTCTGACGTGGACCTAATCTTCTAGATCTCTACATACTCTCATTTATATCAATATTCTAATGGCTCTAACTGCTCCTGGAATTCCAGGAGTGTTGGAAACAGTAAGAACAAACTTTTAAATGTCTGTTTCTTTAACATACCACAGAAGCTTTCCAGCCTGGAACTGCATGCAAATTTTTTGCCAGGAGTTCTGAGCAATGCATGAGTATACTCATAAATTATATTCTCACATTTTGTTCTTGCTATTTGTCGAGGTTGCTATTCTTTCAATGTTGATTCACATGCAGATAATGGGTTTATAGTAATATAGACACATTAAAAGTAGGAGTGTATTCTCTGTTGCAGGGAGCTCAAGACCAGCTAACTGCTTAAACATTTACACAGCTATCAAATGGGCTTTGCAGGCACTGCATCAATGGCAATACTTGGACTGCTTGTGACATGAGTGAACTTGTCACAGCAGATGTGCTACATTTCTTTGCCCATGAAGCCCAGATAGTAACTAGGTCTTTCATTATCAAATTTAGTATGTTCAATTGGCTTTATCTATCTATGTATATACGTTCCTAACCATTTGCTAAGACAAGGACTTTTCCTCACACCACACCACCTGTGAGAAGGCTGGGGGGCACAAGAAGCTGGGAGGAGACACTGCTGGGACAGCTGACCCTGGCTGACCAAAGGGATATTCCATACTATATGGTGCAAAGCTCAGTAACATAAACTAGGGGAAAAGATGGCTGCAGGCCACTGCTTGGGAATTGGTTGGACGTCGGTTAGCAGGGGGTTAGCAGCTGCTTAGCAGCTGCATTGTGTATCATTTGTTTTGTATTCTAATTATTTTATAACAGTTATTTTTATTTTCCCTTCTTTTTCTGACCCTTTAAACTATCTCAACAGCTGAATTTTACTTTTTTTGCCCCAAATTCTCTTCCCCATCCTGGGGTGCCGATGGGGCAGTGAGCAAGTGGCTTGTGTGGTGTTTAGCTGCCTGCTGGGTTAATCCCCAACAGTCCCTTTTGGCACCCAACCCATAAGGGTGGGAAGAGTTGGGATAATGACAGATATCATGACAGCATGTCAAAACTATTATTTTTATAAGCAATTCACAGTATTGATTTAATAGTCACTGCTCACAACACTGATCTCAGTGTCATTGTGTGTATTCTCAGAGTTGCATTATGTAACATCTTACTTGCTGTGTATGTTCCCTGTTGTGCTATTTATCACCTCTGGGTTAAGGTTATAATGTTGTTGTACTTTGTAACACAGGTTTGGGATATGATGAAATTCCTGTTGTGAGGATTGCGGCGTGCATGCACCCGGCATTGCCACCATGTCTGCATGGCAGGAGCTACCTTGGAAATGGCCTGTAACTGCACCATCCACCTCCTCCCCTCAGAGAGCCTATCCATGAGGGAGACACACCCCTCCATCCTCCCCTTCTCCTTCAGGGGCGTTACAACAGCTCTTGGGAAGTCTCAATATCCTCAGCGTGTTCAAACCAGCATGTTTGTATTGCTGTGATGCATGATTGTGTTTCAGGTCTTGTCTAAGGCTTATACAATTACGTAAGAACATCACCCAGAGATCTGCCCCAAGGCTGGATAGTTACGAGTGACAGGGTGTGTGGGATGGTGTGGCCAAGTGCCTAGGACAGTGGGCACCTCCAGCATTTTGGAACTTCACCTCTGAATAAGTGCAGAATCCAGAAAATCTGGAAAAGGTGAGCTCTCACCCTGGTAATTCCAGAGAGATCCAGATGACTCCAATGTACTGGGGCCTGGCCCAGGCTGACCAAGCCCTGTTCACCAGTGCTCAGTGCTAGTGGTGGGAAGGTCTCCAGGCCTGACAACAGAGCTGAACCAGAGAACTAACCTGTGCCAGTATCAGCTACCCCAGTACACAAGAAGAAAGACTGGAAGCAGAAGCGGAGGAGGAAGATAGGTGACCACTGCTTGAGGATGAGTCAGAACTCTAAAATGGGGAAGAACCACCCAATGATTCCTATCACTGAGTGAGGTGCTGGGTAGGTGAAAGGATTTCACCTGTCAGCCAGTTGAGCACATTTTCACCTGGCTACTCCAATGCTGGGATGACAGGGCCAGTAAACTGGAATTAATGCAGAGGGAAGCTAAGCAGCTGGGTTCATTTTCTAGGGAAGGAGGCATTGATGAAGTGATTGGAAAATGGGCCCTCAGCCTCTGAAGACTGCTCTTGTCAGACATGAATGAAAGTTATCCCTTCAAGGAAGATGTTATATATCATACAGGCAAGAATACCACCATTGGAGAAAGGTATCCGGTACCTGAGGGAATTAGCCATGCTGGAAATTCAGTACAAGGCAGCAAAGTGGTTTTACTGACAATGTGTGCCAGCTTATGTAACCTCTGATGGAATAGAAACTCCTCCCTCTACATTACAAAAAATATTGAAATTATGAGGCGTTTGAGTGGAGTATGAAAACTAATAGCAATTTTACTAAAAACAGAGAACAAAACAGGATAAAACAAGGATCAAGCAATAACAGAGAACACGTCACCCGAAATCACTCTTTCACTTTTGCGCCACCAAGGTGGCAACGCAGCCTCGATTCAGTCCCGTGGTTCTGCTGTAGCCAGGGCAGAGTCGTGGCTATGTGAGCGGCAACAATGGTGGTGGCAGCAGCCACACGGGAGCAGTGGCTGTGGGCAGAGACATTGTGAGTCTGGCAGGTGCCACATGGCACTGAGGTGGCAGTGGGGTGGCTCCAGGGGAAGCAGTCCCAGGAACCAAAGAGGACCAGGTTCTGTCGTGTTAGCAGCTTTATTCTGTTAAGTTCTCACAACATATTTCCCAGCAGGAGCCCTTTTCCCTCCCTGCACCCTGGGGGGAAAGGGGCTATCCCCCTGTGCTTCTCCAGAACCACGTGATGGTGTGGAGAAATTTAGTTAAACCATACCATGGTGGCACCATCAACATTGCCAATACATTTTTCTCCATTCTTTCAGTGGCAGAGTGCAGGCTACAGTTTTGCCACAGTTGCCTCCACTACCTGGAGTGGCATCCAGAAAACCTGGAAGTGAGTGCCTCAGAGGTGGAAACACAGGCTTACCATCTGCCATGGACTGATCCAGACTGCACTGGAACAGGGAGAAGCTCTGGAACATGTGCAATTCATTGATGATACCATGAGTACAGCAGAAGTCGGTTTTGATAAGGGGAAGAAAATAGCCCAAATTCTTCTGAAATATGGTTTTGCCATAAAACAAAGTAAGGTCATGGGACCTGCACAGGAGATCCAGTTTTTAGGAAAAAAACAGCAAAAAGACATTATCATACCTCAATGGATGTAATTAACAAGATAACAGCAATGCCTCCACAAGAAACAAACACAAGGTTTTTAGGTTTTGTGGACTTAGGGAGAATGCACATTTCAAATTACAGTCTGATTGTCAGCCCAGAAGTAGAACAGTTTCAAATGGGGCCCCGAGAAACAACAAGCCTTTGAATAAATCAAACGGTAAACAGTTCATGCAGTAGCCCTCAGGCCGTTTGGGCCAAAGCAAGACATAAAAAATGTGCTCTATAATGCAGCTGGGGAGAATAGCCCTACCTAGAGCCTCTGGCAAAAAGCACTAGGGGAGACTTGAGGTATACTCTTAAGCTTTTGGAGTTGGGGATACAGAGGATCAGAGGCCTGCTATACTCCAACTGAAAAAGAAATAATTGGCAACATGTGAAGGCGTTCAAGCTGCTTCAGAAGTGATTGATACTGAAGCACAGCTCCTTCTGGCACCCACAACTTCCTGTGTTGGGCTGGAAGTTCAAAGGGAGGATCCCCTTTACACATACCATGCAATTGATGCTATGTGGAGAAAGTGGGTTGTACTGATCACACAATGAGCTTGAATAGCGGACACCAGTTATCCAGGAATTTTGGAAGTAAATATGGACTGGCCGGACAGCAAAGATTTCAGGGTATAGCCAGGAAAGAGACAGGTTCTGAAAAGGCTTCACTGTACAATGAACTACCATAAAATGAAAAGCAATATGCCCTGCTCACTAATGGGTCATATTGTAGGAAAACAACAAAGGTGGAACACTGCTCTTCGGAGTCCCACAAGTTGCAGAAACTGCTGAAGGACACGAGATGAAGGACACTGCTGAAGGCGAATTGAGTCAGTTTACAGAGGATAAAACTATCCATCTGTCTTTAGACATTGCTGAATGAGACAAATGGCCAGTACTTTACCTCTATACTGATTCATGGATGGTGGCAAATGCTCTTCGGAAGTGGCTACAGCAATGCAAACAGACCAACCAACTGGCAGCACAGAAGTAAAACCACCAGGGATCCTGAATTATGGTGAGGTATTGCTTCTCAGGTAGAGAACCTGGCTGTAAAAGTGTGTCATGTAGATGCTCACATACCCAGAAGTCAGGCCAGTGAAGAACGTTTGAACAACCACCAGGGAGATCAGGCTACTAGGATTGAAGTGTCTCAGGTGGATTTGGACTGGCAACATAAGGTTGACTTATTTCTGGCTTGCTGGGCCCATGGCACCTCGGGCCATCAAGGAAGAGATGCAAGATACAGATTGGCTTGTGACTGAGGGTTGGACTTACCATAGACATAATCTCCCAGGTTATCCACGCATGTGAAACATGCTGCAATCAAGCAGGCCAAGCGGGTAAAGCCTCTGTGGTATGGAGAACCTTGGCTGAAATATAAACATGGGCAAAGGCAAACCCATTCATGGGGTGGCTTTCACTCAAGGATCTGGGTGCACTTTATTGGTAATGTGGAAGGATGGGGAACTCTGATGCGCATCTCAAAAGGATTTGATTCTGGCTGAGAACAGGCAATGATCAGCACCGTGTGATGTTAACTGCTGTATAATATTGTATGCCATCACTACTAGGGTTGCTATATGCCATATCGATGGTATTGCAGTAAA